CCCCGGCGTCCCAGGCTCATCGCCTCCCTCCGCCTCCGCCTCCACCTCCAGTCCCACAACCCATCTTCCCATTTCCCCCTTCCCTCCTCCCCTCTCCTCGACTCCTTCGTCGCCGCTCGAGCCCTCCGCTCCGCTTCCTCTCCCGAAGCCGCCCTCTCTCTCTTCCGCTCCCTCCTTTCTCTCCCTTCCTTTTCCCCTTTCCCCCACCCTTCCCTCCTCCATTCCCTCTCCCGCCGCCTACCCAACCTGCTCTCCCTCCTCCCCGACCTACCCCTCGCCCCACTTCACCGCCTCCGCCTCCTCGCCGCCACCGGTGATCTCCACTCTGCCCTTCAAACCTTCTCCTCTATGCGCTCCGATCCTAATTCCCGCCGCCGGCATAATAGGACCCACCCCTGCGCCGAATCCTACAACCTAATCATCGGCCTCCACGCCGCCGCCGGCGATCACTCCTCCGCTGTTTCCACCTTCTCCCAGATGCTTGCCGACGGCGCCATCCCCAACTCGAGAACCTATACCGTCATCATCGATCATCTAGTTCGAGCTAACAATGTTGATGCCGCCATGGAGGTATTCCACCTTCTTCCCTCGATGAGAGTCCGTCGAACATGTAAGCAGTATAACGTCCTTGCCGACGCCTTCTCGTCCTCCGACCAATGCGACCGCCTGCTGAAACTTGTCAAAGAGATGAACTCCGATGGCATCCTTCCCGGCCGCCCAATGCTCGCCGCTATTGCTAAGCTTCGCGCCGCTGGATTTGTTAACCAGACGGAGGAGTTTGTCGGAGAACTATACCCGGATCAGAGAATCAGGTACGCTGTGGATTGTGGCGAAGAAGAAGACTGTGAGGAGGAAAACGAAGAAGAGGAAGATGATGAGCGTGTCAAGCTAAAGCCATGGATGGATCCCGCCGCCCTCGCAAGAGCTATGGAGGGCTGGGATCCAAGCGACGTCGCACTCTTGGAATCCGCTGGCTTCATCTGGTCCACTCGCCTCGTCTGCAAGCTGCTGAGATCGTTCCGGACGGCGAAAACGGCATGGGAGTTCTTCTGTTGGGTCGCTTATCAACCCGGCGGGTTCTCTCATGATCGCCACACGGTTTCCAGGATGATCTCCATCCTCTCCCGCGACGGCCACATCGAACTAGTTGATCGCCTCCTTACCAAACTTCAATCGGAGGGCATCCTCCTCCCCTTCGCCACCGTCCGCCTCATCATCGACTTCTACGGCCTCTCGAAAAATGCTGACGCCGCCATCAGAATCTACAGAAGCGCTGCCGCCATTTGCGGGCCCCTTTCCCGTCTCAACCTCATGCTCCTAAGCTCATCTCTGCTCCGCACCGTCGTCAAATCCGGGAAAGGTCACGACGCCATGGCTCTACTGGAGGAGATGATGGTGGAAGGCATTCTGCTGGACATCCAGACGTTTTCGGGGTTGATGGAGTATTTTGCCGGTGAGGGTGATCTGAAGAGCGTGCACAGGCTGTTTGGGACGGCGAAGCAGTGCGGGCTGAAGCCGGATGCGTTTATGTATGAGGTTCTGATAAAGGGTTACTGCAAGCAGGAGAGGGCGGTGCTTGCGTTGAAGATGTTTGACGAAATGCTGAGCTCCGGAATGGTGCTCAGTAAAGGAGCGAAGGGGATTCTGGTGAAAAGCTTGTGGAAGGAGGGGAAGCTGCGGGAGGCGGCGATGGTGGAGGAGAGATGCGAGGACATCGGTGAGCTGCCGGCGGTGCTGCGGGGGCACGTGTGGACCATTAGTGCGGCGGATTTTGATCGACTGTGCGCTATTTATTGTTGCGGATTTGTGAAGAGTGACGAGGTGTAGGAGGTGGTGTGTGTTCGTGTCTTTTGTATCATTAAATCCCTCTATTTTTATTAGGAAACTTCTATACATATCACACAATTCTTATGTGCTTTTATCTCTGAAACATAAATATTTATATTTATATTTATATTTATATTTATATTTATAATAGTTTCATGCCATAACCTATGCATGAGAAGTTGTATTTTATTTTTAAAAAATTAATAATAATGATATTTTTTATTGTGAAGTTAAAGAGTTTAGTGTTATGTATGTAAATATGACAATTTAGGTGTCAGATGTTTATAAGAATTCAATGCAGGCGAGAGAATTGTGAATATATATCACAGTTGCTCTAGATTTGGTGTGGACACTCTTGACCTTCAACCCATAGAAGGTTACATGCCCAAATCATAGTCGGTGCCAAAATTCTTTCATTAATATTATGTATAGCTTGCCATTACATGGCGACATAAGGAGAAAGATTTATGTAGCTTATAATTTTGGATGAATTAATGCGATGTCTTCAATGTTATCCTATTTGTTGAATTCTTTGAGTACATATAATTCTTTTTCTAGTTTCCAGAAGCCCCCTCCTTACTATCTTGACTTTTCGTCCTTGCAAATAATGATGATTATTTCTAATAGTTGCCCCTTCCCAGATAGACTGGATCATCCCCCTATGGGATGGATAAATCTAGATGCTTCGCTAAGTGAGCTCAATTCAATCACTTCAATAGGCGAGCTTTGCTTCAGTTCATCCACTTTTGCTGATTGGCTCAGTCATTAAAATTATATGATTCCTCGACAACGGCTTATGAGGCTTCCAAGACTTTTTAGCCTCCATATAGACGGTATAAAAATCTTGTATTTATGTAAACACTACAGCAGACAATTATTTGTTCGCAACCAAAAGCCAATACTTATAATGCTAATTATGTCTAAGTGTGTCTATTCTTTTCCTGGCAATTTTTCATTTATCCACTCGGCAGTCTTAATTCTAGCCATTTAGCACAGTTTTATTCAGAGGTATATCGCAGGAGCATTGACTAGTTTTACATTCAATTATTAGTTTATATGTATTTCATGACCTTATATTTCAGATTCTATTGATTTGATCCACCGCAGATAAATGATTATTAGGGGCTATTTAGTATCTAATTTTAGGCAAAAGTTAGCCTAAAACCCACCAAATAGATGTTTTTTGAGTGTTAGCAATCCTATTAGTTTGATAAATCCCATAAAATACAAGTGCAAATTGAAAGTGTAAATTAATGACTTATCAGTATGTAAAGTATGAAACTTTTAAATCACAATTCAATTCTAAAGCATCATACCCGCAAACATACATGCCCTTAATAATGCCTTAATAATACTTCTTAATCTCCATTAAAGGGAAAACAGAGATGGCGATTAAGGCTGAGACCAGTTGCCTGCTCTGAACTCCTTATAGAAGCCCGATCGTCTTGAAACAACAACGAAAACTGCAGAAGAAGAAAAAAAAATGGTGCAAAATATATTTTTTAATGGTGCATTTACATATATACAGCACAATTCTTACGTATTTACATCTCTAACTTCTAAATTTTAATATTTACATTCGCAACATTCAAATCTTTTAACATTACATCAAAAATATCACTTTACTAGTTCTTTAAAGGTCAAACACAACTTTTTATAGATAGATTTATTGCACCAAGGTGTTATAAATATAAATATAAAACTTTGTGTTAGATATGTAAATCCATAAGAATTGTGTGGTACGAATGTAAATTTCCTATTTTTGAAATAAAAAAAATAGCTTATAGAGTTAAATGGCTAAGTTTAGTTGGTACAATTTGATTTCAACAGCGAGGAAAAATAGAGTACCTGGGATTGCAGGGATTATGTAATCTGACTGCTGCAGAATATCAGTAAGCTTTTTCTTCTCATTAACCTTTCTCCATTCACCAGAATCTGATAATGATATGTAAATTAGGAACCATACCCGTCTATCGCAAAATAAACAATGCTTTACACATGACACAATCATAAGCAGAAAAAATGATAAAATTTTCATATAATATTCCTGCATAGAACTGAAAATTCCTGCTAAAAAAGAATAGAGAACAAACTGTCATATTTACATACCTCTCAATTGCTATGCACTTACATATGTAACCCCTAAACTTCACTTTTTAAATTGATACCACCCAAATATTTCATATCATGCCAAAAATACACATTTTCATTCATGAGGTTTGTATGTAAAAATTGAATTTTGGATGTTAGATATGTAAATATATAGAAAAAACTGCATAAGAAAAAAATATTAAATTGAGTGGTATGTATGTAAATCTTGCATCAGGTAAATAGAAAGCTGGGAAGAGAGTGCTATAGAATATATACTTAATGAACTTGGAATTTTGGTATGATCAACTTCATCCTCATCGTCATTATAGCCACATTCTGCAAGTGAAGTGCCAGTCCCCAGTAGAAGGTACTGAAGCACCTTTGTCTTTGAAAGAACAACTCCCGTATTAGCCTGCAGATTCAATTATCAGAAATGAAAGCAACATAAACATAATAGATCAGTGTATTGGATTATAATTTTCAAACATATATTAAATAGGGGAAAATATTCCCTGAGGTTTAGGTTGCAAACTTAACATTCTTTTTGAACAAATATCGGAGAATTGGATCCTGAGACTCTTGCAATAACTCTCAAGATCTTTATCAGCTTAAATTAGCAAGCATCGCAGTATTAATTAAATAACACCATGCCATGCTTCCTTAGATCGTCAGCATAAAAAACTTTATAAAAATTTAGTGAAATCTTACATCTGAAATTTTGAGATCCGCCGTGGCTTGAAATTAGTGTGTTGCAGTGTATGCACGTGTAAAGGGGAGAGAGAGAGTGGAAAAAATATATAAAATGATATTCACAATATCTACCAGTCTTATTAGTGCACCTTCCACACATTCTTGCTCATGCAAAAACCAACCTACATTCTACCACCTATCAATGAATTTTCCTCTCAATCCTCCCAAATAATCAATTTTCGATCCATCTGCTTATCCGATGGAATTCTGAAAAAAATATAGGAAGATTTGATAGGAAACAATTAAGGAAACTCTTCGATGAGTTATATTCGCTTCCTATTTATGTTTATTTCAATTTGTCTGAAAATTTTCCTTTCAATTTTTAAAGTAGATATATTTGATAATTTTGTAAATTAGGAGGGAATGTTGCCTTGTATATGTAACCTCATACTTGAAGATTGTGAATAAGATTAAGTGAAGACTTTCTTCTATGTTCTCTTCATGATATCAGAGTTAGGAAATAAATAGTAGAACTCTTTTCAGCCGCCGGAGCCTGTCCAGCCGCCATCCAATACTGGAATCCACCCTAAAACCACCGACCGGTCTTCTTGCAGGGCCTTCACCAGAGCTTCTCCCTGCAGCCACCTGCTACCCTGCAAGTCCTCCGTCAGAGTGTCTCCTTGCAGCCAATCTCCTGCTTTCCCGTAGCGGAAATACCTCCCCGTAGACTGCAAAACCTCCGCAGTATTGCTGCTCCTTCCCGTAGCCTATAGACCATCCACAGTTTTGTTGCTCCTTCCCATAGTTGCTCGTTCCTGTAGTACAACTACTTCCCAAGCAACAGAGTAGCCACAGGAGCAGCCAGCAGATGTTCCGTAGTAGACCTACTTCCCGTATCCAGTAAACATAGCCTAAACACCTCATAACTTGCAGCAAACAGCAAGCAGCAAACCCCAGCAGCAAACCCCAGCTAACAAACCTGTGGGTCCTCGTCCCTACAGCAAACGACAGCTAGCAAAACACAGATCCGCAGAAAACAACGAACTAAAGAATTCCTCTTCTCCAGTCGCAAGAAGCGACCAGAAATTCTTCCCAACCCTAAAACTTGCATAGGGCATATGACAAAGTACACCATGAAGATGGCTAGCTCTGCTCTAAAGTTACTTATGAATCAGAGACAACAAAATTCTGTCCAAACAGGCCCGAAACTCACTTTATCACAAATCATACCCAATGGTCATAATTTCCTTCAATGGTCCCAACCGTGTTGATGTATATTTGTGGAAAAGATAAGGAGGAATATTTCATGGGAGGGCACAGTTCCTGAGCTCACTAGTCCTAACCATTGCTCATGAAAGATCTAGGATCATATAGTCATGTCTTGGTTAATCAATTCTATGACCACAAAGGCTAGAGAAAATTTCTTGTTTTATACTACAACACGGAAGAGTTGGGAATCAGTTCGTGAAACTTATTCCAGTACCGAAAATATTGAAGAATTAATTGAATTGATACAAAAATGCATGGGCTCTGACAAAAAGGGTTAAGCTTGACTCGATAATTCAACACACTTATAAAGTAATGGTTACACTTAGATGTGTATGCCCTCAAAATGTTATGATATATAAAACAATAATGGATGAGAAGAGGATGATCAAGTTCTTATTGGTTCTAAGCAAGAACTTAGATGGGGTCAGAGAAAGATTCATGGGGATGAAGTGTCTACCTATCACTTGCTAAAGTTAGAAGAAAAAAAAGTAGCAAGGAGCTCATGATGGCGGGAAGTGTGGATTCATCTAGCACTGAAAGCTCTACCTTGTACACACACAACTCCTCACATGAGTAAAAGCCGAAAAAGAATCGTCCCTTGTGTGAACATTGCAAGAACCTCTGACTCAAAGGACAAGTGCTGGAAACTGCATGAGAAACTTGTAAATTAGAAACTTGGACAAGGGAGGAAGGACTAAAGCTGTAATCGAGTCGAGCCAAGACAAGCATACCATAAACTGGACTTGGTATGATACAATTATAAGTTATTCACATTTCGCTTGAGTTTTTGTCGAGCTTTTATATTGTTCATATTTCACGATTATAATTTATTTCTGACAAGTGAACGGGTATTTAAATGAGCAAAAATTCAAATGAGTATCGAGATTTTTATATTAAAATTTCAATAAATAATTTAATAAATATAAATAAATGAACAATTTAATAAATCAGATAAAAAAATGAACTAACCCGTGTGATCTCATCTAGTGCCTAAAATAGATATTTTCTCACAATAATGCATTTTAAGATTGAAAAATATATAAAAATCAGAGCAAAAAAATAAGAAGGAACTTGTACCATCAAATAACTCATAATACAAAATCTTTCATCAATTGATATAATAATATATTAAAATTCAATATATATTTAAATAAATTCTAGTTAATCAAATTTTATTTGCATAACATATCATATATGATAAACTATCATCAAAATTAATATCAAACATTTAATAATTTACTCGTTGAGTACTAAACAAATTTGTTCATGACCATAAATGAATAAATTTGGTTATGTTCATATTTAGTTCATTCAACCGTCGAACTTTTAGAAAATATTTAAGCTTGTTTATTGACTAATTTAGATGAACGTGATCGAGACTTAATTATTCATCGAGTGCATTGGTTCATTTACAACCCCGGGAAGGACCAAGGCATCAAGGCCCATCTGCTACTTCTGAATGGTCGGTCGACCCTGGTCCCTTCACCAAGGATCACCTGTAGGTGTTGAAGAAATGTCTTTCTAGCACAATTGAGCGGCCTACCAACTTGATGATACACCAAGGTACTATATTCTACTATCTCACCAACAGTGGAAGATTTCGACCTTGATTAATAGATTCAGATGCTTCTGATTACATTACTGGAGACATTTATGCTTTCACCAACTACAAAGAATTCACTACCACCAAATTTGTTAGACTTGTTGATAGATCTAACTCCAAGATTGTCGATAAAGAAGAAATGGGAGTTTCCAAAGATATTCAACTTTCTTCTGTGATATATGTTTCTCAATTAAATTGCAACCTACTTTCTATTAACAAGCTAAATCGTGACTTGAATTGTACTACTGAATTTTATTTTAACTCCTGAATTTCAAGTTATGGACTCGAGGAAGGTGATTGACAGTGTTGAATTGCATCAAGGTATAAGCTTAAGAAAAGATATTATCTTAACATGCAAGTGTCTTCTTCATCATCCTCTTCCCATGTTCATGAGTTTGTTGTGTCTGAGTCTGTTGCGAGTTGTTTTATTATGACATTATTGACTAGGTCATTCAATTTTCATTATGTTGCAAAATTGCACACACATCTCTTTATTAATAAAAAGCTAGAGTCAGTGTGAAATCTGTCAATTGGCTAAACATACTCGACATGTCAATCCCCTGTCTCGGTACAAACCCCCACATTCATTCTCTATTATTCATAGTAGCATATGAGGACCTTCAAAACTAAAATTCATCAATGAGATCAGATGATTTCACTTTTATCGATAATCACAATAGAATTAGTTGAATAATCCTCATAGAAAAGAAATTTGAAACTACACAAATATTTCAGTCATTCCATAACATAATTTATACTCAGTTCCAATACAAAATTCAGATTCCCAAAATCCATATTGTAAAAGAATATTTTAACTCTATCCTTGAAACCTATCTTGCAAAGAATGTTATCATTCATGCGAGTTCAGGTGAAACCCACAACAAAATGCAAAACTGAGAAGAATAACATACATCTCCTTAAGGTATCTAGGTCTATAATTCTGTCAAAATATCCCAAATTTTTTTTGGGGAGATGTCATGCTCACAGCTACCTACTTCATTAATAAAATGCTAAGCAGGGTCCTTGGATTTAAAGCTCCTCTAGATGTTGTGATAGAAAAATAACCTCAGATCAGAGTCTTCTCATCAAATCTTCCTCTAAAAATATTTTGTTGCATTTCCTTTATTAACATTCACCAACCAAACTGCACAGATCTTGACTCAAATTCCATCAAATTTATCTTCCTTGAGAATGCTTCTAATGAAAAGGGCTACAAGTGTTATTCACCATTTCAAGAAAATGTTATAATTCAATGGATGTGACTTTCTTTAAAAAACAAGTCAATTACCCCAAATCTAATATTTAAGGGGAGAGTCTAGGTGCATATCAGACTTCAGACATGACTCTGAAAACACACTAATTTAGAGTCACCACAACCAATTATACTTATTTCTAAACATTTTATCCCCCAAGTTTCACCATTTGAGGATATCCAACATGAGATTGGCAACAAGAAACTTCGTATGTCCACTAGGAGAAAGAAATCCAGTGAACAAAATACAGAGAATATGCAATCATGGGATTGTTCAAAACCAAACATGAATTCAAGTCCCTGAAGTTCCAGGAGAGGTGAAGTTCAATGGAGAAGATATGAAAAGTTGGACAAATTATCCTATCAAGGAGTATGTTGTCAATGGAAAGTTATCACTTTATAAAATTTTTGTATCTAATATTGATAGTGTGTAGATACCCAAGTCTATTCATGAAGCACTTAAAAGTCCAGAATGGAAAAGGGCAGTTGGAGAGTCGATCCAAGCACTCAACAAAATGGCAAATGGAATTTTACAAAGCTTTCACAAGAAAAAAAATATTTTAGTGTAAATAGGTGTTAAATGCCAAGTACAAAGCAG